TTATTGTAGAATGGCCATAAGGGCGCGTTCACACCTTGACGGGAAAGCAGAAAGCGGAAAAGCAACAGCCAATCAAAATTCGCGCTGGAAGTTGACAATTTCGGCTTTTTGTACTACTTACTACCAGCGCGAGTTGTGATTGGTCACTGCTTTTCCGCTTTCTGTTTTTCCATCAAGGTGTGAACGCGCCCTAAGAGTTAATCGTGAGTTGTGGAACTGGCCTTTAAGATCCTACGATAGATCCCCCAAAATTTTGGCACATAAATATACGTAGGAATATTCTGGCGTTGAAGAAAGATGAAAGAAAACAAAGTGCCAATATGCCATGCAGTGCAAAAAAACTTTTGCACCAGTTCATTTTTCTTCCTCTTCTTCCTTCCTCGAGAGAAAAGGAAGAAAGACGAACTGGTGCAAAAGTTCAGTTAAAAAGAACAGGCCTAATGCCGTGTTGAGTTATGAGATCATTGAGCTCAGACACAATTACAATCGAATATATATCTTTATTATTCAGACAAAGGAAAAAAGAACGCGGACAGCGTAAGTAAGGAATACATATATATGTATATATAGCGGCGCGCTCAGCGAGGCAACTAAAAGGAAGGGCTAAAAACCGCAGGAAACAAGAAACATAAATGAGAAAAAGAAAATTCTATACATAAAACTAGAAATAACCATTTATTTGAAAGTTAAATTGTATATTCCAACAGGCCGGAATCAGACTACGCATTGAATATTGAGATTGAAGATTGAAAGATTGAAATTTGACCAAAACAATAGGAGCTAAAATTTCTTTGTCGTCATTGGTCAAATTTTAATCTTCAATTTTCAATCTCAATCTTCGATGCGTAGTCTGATTCCGGCCTAATGGCTATGTTTACACCGTGCATTTAGGCCGCGGCCTATACAATAGATGTCTTTGTTTATCCTGTATATTAAACAAAGATGCCTATCGTATAGGTCGCGGACTAAGCGCACGGTGTAAACGTAGCCAGTAACACTTGTACTACGCAGTACGAGTAACATTACCGACGTATGATACGCAACACATCTGCTCTTAGTGTCACGTGTCGCCATCTCGCACTATCCGAATGGTTTCGCGTAAAGCAAGTTGGAAATCGACAGTTGAAAAGCTAAAAATTCTAAATGCATTTCACATTTAAAGATATACACATGAAATAAATGACGTAAGCTTGTGTTTTATAAAGTTTATTTTGGATGGATGATTCTGCAACGAACGCACGTAGAGTTGGAAAATTGTACGCGTGGTAATTCGCCTGATACAATAAAAAAAATATATATATATATACATCCTCCCCAAAAACACACATACACATGTGCATGTATAGTGTATATGTATATAACTAATAATGAATTTCGTTTTTATTACGATACACATACATATAAGAATGGACATTACGCGCGTATAGGCAGTTGTAGTTAATTCTGTTATTTCGAGATAATAATTCTAATATGGAAACGTCTAAATTGGTCTAAAACGAATAGAAGTCTGAATAAAGAATTAACCTCTTAATAGAGGATTGAAGTGCTACAACATCCTGCAGCGAATATACCGTGATACGGCCCTGAATCCCTGGCCACTAGTCTGCGGTCTCTCCGGTTGCCGTGGTGATATTTTGGTCCAGCTGGGACTGGGATTGCTGGGAGTGCTATAGGACGGGATCAGACGGGACACGAGCGAGAGCGAGAGCGAAAGCGAGAAGCGAGAGATATCGTTTGTGCGCGTCTCTCGTCGTGGCGACGCGGCGCGGCGCACCCGCTCGTTCGCTCGCGAGCAAAGTGATCCGAGGCGAAGCCCCGAGGTGTTGGAGGGCCACGTTGACAGACATATGAGGATTCCAGCGGCGAGATAGGATATGCGTGCCGACTACGTCGCAACCGCGAGTCAACTACGAGACCACAACTACCGCCAAATTACGCGTCACCTAATTCCCATTTCCTCTTTTCTCGACAAAATCTCCCATCTGCAGACTATTGTTGAACCGATTCGCCAGAAAAATCATTCAATTTACATTTTTTATTTATATTATATTAAGTTTTCCAAAAATATTTTAGGCACGTAGAAAGAACCCTGGTAGGGTTTGCTGTCGCCGCCGCGCGCCGCATAATTGCAGCTAACGAGCTAGCGCGTCGCAAATTCGACGCGAAAGCGATATATCAACTTTGCTAACGCGTAATAAATTATTCCATGTCGCAGCGAAATTTCTCTCAAAAATTCTTGTCGAGTATAGTTCGTAAGAACACGGATATGCTGTTAAAATGAAATAGAATCCTCCATTGTGCAGGCAACTGCGATTTGCCGTTGCATGCAACGAAACAATTTATCATTGTATAGCGAAATTATTTGCAGATTTGACAGAATTATTGTTAACGGATAAGAAATAAAAATTCTGTATGTTCTCTACACAGCAACGAGCATCTCTCTCGTTACAAAAATCTCAAAACATCTATAATTGCGATAAAATCGCGAGCAAGTTTTCAATTTTTTAAAGCGTGCCTCTACAAAATTGACATTCCCCGATATAATACATTTTTTTGAAAGTAAAGCCTAGTTTACATCGAGTTTAAACTTGATACTAGGGATGAACCGGATATCCGAAAAGTATACGGTATCCGGTATTATCCGGCACTTTTTTATTATGCAACTGGATAGTCGGATATTATTCCCGGACAGTATCCGGGAATATATCCGGTTGAAATTTGATATCATTAAATTGTTGATTTTTTATTATACAAATGTTCTAAGGCCGTAATCAGACTACGCATTGAAGATTGAGATCGAAGATTAAAGATTGAAATTTGACCAATGAGGGCAAAGGAATTTTAGCTCCTATTGTTTTGATTGGTCATATTTCAATCTTTCAATCTTCAATCTCAATTTTTAATGCCTAGTCTGATTCTGGCCTAAAAATAAGTATGCATATTCATAATGCTATAATATCTTATACATTGTTGCAAAATTACAATTTTTTCTTATAGGCTTTTTTTTTAAACACTTTCCCGAAATTCGGTCGGATATCTGGAAAACGGATATCCAACTCGAAGAAATTGCCTTCTCGGATATCCGAACGGATACCGAATATTCGATGTTACATTTTGTCCGGATATCCGATATCCGGTATCCGGTAATTTTACGATCCGGTGCATCCCTACTTGACACGCGTATTAACTGTATATATAGTAACTTATATATAGTACCTAATGTAAACTAGGACTAACAATAAGAGTTATCATTATTTCTCATCGGATACATCTCATACAGTTAATAATAACAAGAAACCGCGGCTATTTCGCACGAGCACGTATATCAATAATAATCGCAATAATCACACGTACGACTTATTATAACTGACAAAACGCGTGCTTGGCCAACATTAACGTTTCTTCACATTTCTTCCAACATTTCCACGATGCATTGTTTCATAGTAAAATGATTATGTTAAGATATTATTGCAATTATAGTATATAAATGGCGCAACGATTGGTTCCCAACTCGGCCTCAGACCTTAAATAGGCGTGCAATCTAAGAGAAATCAAAATTGCAAAATGCGTTTTTTTTTTAAATTTAAGTAAAAGAAAAAATAAGAGCAAAAAGTACAAAATAATTTAAATTAAAACCAAGGTATATGTACTACACTGAAAAAAAGATTGGCTGCTGCAGCAAATTAGATGGTAAAATATGGCATAGCATTTTTAATTGGTTGTATCAGTCAATTTTTGGTTGTGTTAGCCTATCGAAATCACCAAAATAAAGGAAAGATATATACATACGTATAACATTTTCTTCTTGTATATACATATATATGTATATTAATGTATACATATGTATATAATGTATATATATATAATATATACATTATATACATACAGGGTGTTAGCGAAAAAGGGTCACAGATTTTAGGGGCATATAGAACAACAAAAAATAAGTCAAAAAGTCCTAATAAACATGGCATAGATTCGAAAACGAACGGTTGCCAAGATATCTCTTGGTCTTTGTGTTTAAACAATACATTTCCAAACAAGCTTTAAACAATACATATCCAAATAAGCTCATTTTTAAAAAGAGTGAGGGCGTCTTTCTTGAGAAGATGTAAAACTTGGGAGAGATTTTTAATTCATCGATTGATCAATCGCATTATGCGCAAGTACAGCTTTTACGGAACAAAATTACATTTGCGCACAGTGCGATTGATCAATCGATGAATTAAAAAACTCGCCCCTTGTTTAGATATGGACACTTCGAACATGTACTTTAAGAATAATTAAAAAATAAACAGTAAATGCGT